ATAGAAAATTATAATCTAGAGAAATAGAAAATTATAATGTAGAGAAATGGAAAATTATAATCTAGAGAAATAGAAAATTATAATCTAGAGAAATAAAAGATTATAATCTACAGAAATAAAAAATAATCAATTCAGATGTTTTTAAACATTGAAATCTCATTCCACTTTTCAAATTATCATTTTTCTCTTGTCTTCATTCATTTATCCACCAGAAAACTATCAGTACTCTTAAACGTGTGGATAATTCCTTTTTTCAAAAACATTTTAGAAAACAATTTATTTTTTATTCGTTTCCTATTAATCCATTCTCTTCTCGTTAATTCGTAATGACATTATGTCATCATGTCATTATAAATTAAAATGTCATCACAATTTTTGTTTTTCTACTCTAGGTCGATAATTAATTCACTAAATTATTTATTTAATATAATATAATAAATTTGAAATGTAGAGTTTGAGCGAGTTCATAAGTTTAATTTGAAAGGACAAATGTCTGGAGTAAAAAATTAATAAAAATTAATACAATCTAATAATAATATCTAAAATCACTGACTCTCTCATTTTCTGGTGATTTTCGATGCATTTAATGAGTTCTTCATTAGGTTTAAGCGTCAATTGCCCCTTTGACATCCGGCAACACTCATATTCCGTTATCTTGAAATTCCTCTCTTCCTCGGGAATAATCAACTCCTCGACAAATGTCTTGTGACAGTTCTTCAGTCTGAAGTTGAGAATTTTTAATTGAACTGTTATGTAAGTCATGACGGCCATCAGGAAGTTATCTATGATGATGATATTGGCACTTGCAAAATTGTGACATAAATAATCAACAACCGCAACAGATCGACAATTATCTGGCGATGATAGAATCTTCAGGGGTAGATAACTAGAAGAATAAACGAAATAAACATGAATGAAAAAATGAATAGTAAATTCCATTAATCCTGTTATCGATCTTCAAGATGTACAAATATTCAAAAAATATTGAATAGAAAAATTCAAAAGAATTCATTTCCAAATTCATTTTTACAAAAGATTTTACAAACTTCTCCCAAATTTTCCATTTTCCTTGGATTTTACGTGTTTAATAAAGAAGAGGGAAACAAAAAGGAGAAAATGCACAATTATCTCTATTGAACCGAAGAAATTGTATAAAAAACCAAAGAATATTAAGTGATCTACAAAAATAAAATCAGTAATCAATAGGATTTCCCAACGAATGCATGAATTGATCGAATACACTTTTTATGCTTTAATTCCTGAAGCATGAGATTCGTATTTACCTCAAGGGATAATCCGTAATTGTGCAATTATCGACAGTCAAAGTGGAATACAAATCAGAGATGGAATTCAGAAGAACGACTCCAGCGATGACTGCAGTTATAGTCCTCAAGGATGATGCAGCCTTCGTCATCAAGACATCCCTGAAATAAGCTGATGCCGATAGCAAGATTAATTAACTGTAGGAAGATTAATTTCCACTTGATTAAACGATTAACAAACGAATGGATAACTCACCCATTTGTGGGGTGCATGCCATATGCCTCTCCCAATTAAATAATCGGGCTAGTAATAATATCTCGGGATGATTATATACGATACTGAATGTCTTGAATCCACCAGCAGTGTGAACAATGACTGATGCAAATCCTTGAGTGAATTCAGGCAATGTACGTGCATGAAGTGATTGCAACAGATCAGCTATACATTTAACTGGAAATATTCCGTAATTGTAAAAAAGTATGTAAATCTGATAAAGTTGGTATTTAATCCCAGCTTCATACGGATTCCATGCGCCTTGGGAAATTGAAAAGAAAATATTTTAATATTTTATTATAAATATTATAATATTGTGTCGATATTTGGATTATGAATGACGCTTGATGATTGTAATTTTGTTTTATCTTTGACTTCAATTCGAGTGAATTAAATTCCAGAAAAATTAATTTCTTGGAAAATTGATGATTCTTTTATTTTATCGGTGAAATTATATGGAAATTGATAAAATTCTTGATTTTTGTACTCAAATCTCCGGGAAATTCACGGAAAAATCAGTCCATGCGACTGGGGAAATTGAAAAGAAAATATTTCGATGATTATAATTTTGCTTTATCTTCGACTTCAATTAGACTGAATTAAATTCCAGAAAATCTTGAAAAATTGAAGATTCTATTATTTTATTCATGGAATAGAAATAGAAAATTATAATTTAGAGAGATAGAAAATTATAATTTGGGGAAATAGAAAATTATAATCTAGAGAAATAGAAAATTATAATCTAGAGAAATGGAAAATTATAATCTAGAAAAATAGAAAATTATAATCTAAAGAAATGAAAAATTATAATCTAGAGAATTAGAATTAGAATTATTCAAATTTCCGAAAACTTCACAGAAAAATGAGAATTTGTCATTTTACTTCTGAATGTTATAGTTTATCTAAACTCTTGATTTTCAACCAATTATTCAATTACTGTTGAATTTTCCGTGGAACTCTAATAAATTTTCAAGAGCGATTATTTAATAATTATAATTTTTTCCGCAATGATGCACGTGATGGTGAAAATGATTAATCCCATACCCACAACCGCTATATATTTGAGATTAAGTGAAATGTAACTCTGGTCAATCGGAAAAATCTTTCCCTTCGCCATTATACAAAATACGATGTGTTTCCTTCAATAGTCACCAATGCACTGACATAACTCGTCATTTATTATTCTGCATGTGCAGATGTCAAAAAAAATGTGAAATAAATTTCTCAAGTTCGATAGTCTCGTCATGAATTTTTGATACGACTCTATTCTCTCGAATATTTTAGGGTCATGTATAATAGAAAAAGCGTCCGTTATTTTTCGTTCCGTCCGACCAATCCCTGAAATAATCTCAACAACAAAAAAACTACAAAATTCACTGGTGAAAAACTGAATCGCCGCAAAAGTAGTGAAAAAAGAATACTCCAAGTTTTCTTGTACGAGAAATTGAGAAGCAGTTGTAATTTATTTAAAAAGTCCTGTAAATTTGTCATAAATTCATGAATAAAAATTGTTTATTAATTGCAATTTGGATTAAGTCAGACCCTCCCATCGATGACAATTTCTTTTCGATTGGCTATAGGAATGGCTTTGATCTCCAGATCAAAAGTTGCGTGCCTCCCACCGAACAGGAGGGGAGCAGAAACTTCCAGGGGATGTTCTCCAGGCATTCCCTTATTTTCCCCTGGCGATGTGGAGTTCAAGGACAGATTGGAATCCTTATCGTTATAGACAGTGAGTCCAGTGCTTTCGTGGTCTGGAATTTTCGTTGTGGTGGAATTTAAAAAGACTCCGGACACTGGGAGGATGACTTCCATCGGGCCATCCATGGTGGAACTTTCTGATATATTCGATAAGTCTTCTGACACTGAAATCTCTTCAGGATTCGGGGATGTTGTGCCCCGGAATCTCAAGCTTTTGAGGAATTTCTTTATGATACTCAGAATGCTCGTCTTGTTCTTCGTCTTTGGCTCGTAAATTTCGCCGCCCTTGTCATCTACTGCTCGTCCCTGGAGCACCAACTCCTCCAAGAACTGGGATTCATCGGGAGGAATGAGGAATCCGTATCTTCCGATTGGTACAGTGGTTTTACCCTCGGGTCTGTGTCTTTTCAAATTTTCTCCAAATCTCCGGAATTTCCTCAAGGTGTATCCCGGATCATTCCGGAATCTCCAACTGTTTTCTTCTAGAAATAATAATAATAAATTAGAATCAGTAATTATCGAGGGTATGACATAACACCATAAAATATTAGAGAAAATATCGCATGATAAAATATCACAAGTGCATTTTTTTCGAGTCCAGTTTTTTGCCGATATCTCGGAACTGAAGGAACATATCGAATTTTTAGAGAAAATATTTTTTATAGAAAAAGGTGAGAGCTACAAAAAAGATTCTTATGAAATTATCATTATCTCCCTTCAATTTCGAGAAATCGGCTAAAAACTGAACGAGAAAAAAATGCACTCATCCTAATTAACAGCTAGGCAAGCGAAATATCATAAATATTATAAATTATTATTATTATTTATTATTATCCCCCAGAATTAAGATAAAAAATCAGGATTATAATTATATAATGATAAACATTAAGACGTCAAATTCAATTCCATAATAAATCAAAATATTCAGATATTATCAATTTATAATAATTATTCATATGGATTCTTCATAAATTAATAAATTTCGTATTATCATCAATTTCAAATCGAGAAGCTTCATGATGATTATCAATATAATATATACTATTTTATTATGTTTTATATAAAATAATATATTATATATTACATCCATTAGTCCGCGAGAAATTTTTCATTATAAAAATGATATTAAAAATAATTTAAAAATAATATGAGTAATAATCCTAGCAGCTATACCTTTCCCTTCTGCTCTAGACCTGAGACTCCCATTGGCATCACTGGATCCAGTCATCACCACTACAATCAGAAAAATCGCAAAACCATTGACAAAAATTCTGACCTCCATCCGCTTTAATAAAAAAAAACCGGAGGTTATGCGTTGATGGAACAATTGATATCGAAATTAATTGAATTTCAATGGTCCTGGGGAGAAGTCAGTTGAATCAAGATAGAATCCACTCAGTCTAATCCTCTCGATAAACCCACGGATAAATTACTGATGACGTGAATTGATTCAAGACGAATAATAAAAGTGGGACGTACAAAACGAAGATGAAGGGTTCGGGTTGAACGAGGGACAAGTAAATCTTCCCTTCGACGTCCGTTTGTTATTCTTACGGTCTGTCGCAATAAAGGGGAGTCCTGGTGCTCTCCATTCTTCAATTTGTCTCATTGAATTCCTTGAGAGGGGCCACAGGACTCCGAGGTAATTAAATTGACGGACGTCCAATTGAACGTGAAGAAAATACAGAGAGTCCCAGTTAAATAGAATTTATTATAAACTGATAAATAATCCTAAATGATATAATCTCAAATGGAGCTCTTCCACCCCATCATCATCATAATCAACGCATCATCAGCTAGCTTCTCGTACATTCCCTGATAGAAAAGACAGAATTAATGAATGAATGAATCCTCTCCCCTCCATCATTCCAACGAAGTAGATCTCCAACGGAGGAGATAAAAACCCCAGGACGACTACCTGCACTAGTCCATTCTTCTTCAGCACTTGGAAGTCCTCGGATCAGAACAATGAGACTGATACCTCTCATCTTCTTGGTTCTCATCGTTAATTCAGTGTTGTGTAATCTAGTTTCTCGTGATTTCCAGAGAATCAACTCCGAATTACTGAAACTCAACCGGATAAACGCGATCCTGGAGTGGGAATCGGCGACTCGACCTTCGGCGAATGTTTCCATCTTCAAGAAGGAATTCTACAGGATGAGGCAGACCTGGAGGGAGGGCTGGTGTGATTTTTTGAGGAGATCCCAGGGGCTCAGGCGGGAGAGGATGATTTATATTCTCTGCAGAGGACCCATGTACTCCACCCAGCAGGCGGGCCTGCTCTCCCTCATGGCGGATGATTTGCTCCTGAGTTATCAGTCCAAACTGGTTTGTGATTCCACTGGGGATTGCTCTCGTGGAGAACCTGAGTTGAGGAGACTCATGACCACCTCCAGGGATGAACCCGTCCTCAGGTGGGCCTGGAGCTCTTGGAGGGACGGCTTCAGATCCGTCAAGTCCATGTTCTTGCAGTTCGTCGCGTTGGGAAACGATGGGGCCAGGAGGAACGGTAAATTGTGGAGGCTATGGGGAATTTATGATAATTAGGGTGATGTAGAAAAAATGTTTAATTGTGGGGGATGTAATGTCTGGTTGTAATGTTTGTAATGTTTGTAATGCTTGATGTAATGTTTCAATGTCTGGTTTGAATATGTGCGATCAACCACCGGTTGATGAAACGGATTTGTCCCGCAGGATACGAAGACCTCGGGGAAACCTGGAGGGAAGAAATAGGAATTCCGAACGTGAAAGTGATGATGGACAAGCTGTGGTCAGACGTAAAACAACTGTACCATTTTCTCCACGCGGTAATGAGATATCGATTGCAGGAAGTCTACCCAAAAGTCGATCCTCTCTCGCCCATTCCTGCACATTTACTGGGTCTCTGCAATATTTTTCTCGAGCCATCCCCATGATTTAAAATCATCCACAAAGCTAGACATCATTTCCAACTAATCGTGGTCTATTGGACATTCAGGTGACCTGTGGAGCCAAAACTGGGGAGCCCTAGTAGACCTTCTGCAGCCAGACAACTCAATGATCTTAAATATAACGGATTCCCTGAGGAACAAAAACTACAGTGTCTTGGATATGGTGAAGAGGTCCGAGGATTTCTACGTGTCTCTGGGGTTTCCCCGGCTGCCCCAGGAGTTCTGGAAGAATTCGGTCTTTACTCGAGGAGATGGCGATGGCAATTGTCATGGTTCAGCTATAAATATGTACAAGAAAGGAGACGTACGCATCCTGGGCTGCTTCGAGGTCAACGAGGAAGACTTCCGAGTAATTCACCATGAAATGGGACATATCTACTATTATCTAGCTTACGAAGGACAAGATGCTGTCTCCAGGGTAATTACGACTGACTAAAAAAAAACAGAAATTAATCAAATCTCTAATAAACTCAACAGGTTTTGTTCTTCTCTGGAGTAGGCTGGAGTTAATTCTGCATTCCACGAGAGCATCGGAGAGGCAATTCTTCTGGGAGTGATGACACCCCAGCATCTTCAGCGTCTTGGGCTTGCTGGAGACCCTATTCTCAATAGCAATCTTGTAATATTATTGAAAGAAGCTATGATCAAACTGCCGTTGATTGCTTCTGCCTTGGTCATCGAAAAATGGAGGTTCCGAGCTTTCGAGGGAAATCTAGAAGCGTCCGAGTTGAATGCACTTTGGTGGGAGCTGCACAGCGAGATCATGGGGATTTCCCCGGTCCATCCCAGACCCGACAACATCTTCTTCGATCCACCTGCCAAATTCCATGTAATCGCCAATGTCCCTTATATGAGGTGAGTCCTGAAATCCTGGCGGGGACTGTTGGGATTTTTTTCTCCCAATATTCTTTCTTAATTTCGAATGACTAATGCAGGCAGGTTCGTATCAGAATTTGAGAGTCATAAATTTTGATACCCCGATGGCTTAGTTGGAATCGATTTTCTGGGGTACAATCGATTGTAGTAAATTTTATTTTATTTTCAGGTATTTCTTTGCGAGTTTCTTACAATTCCAGATATTCGACTCGATGTGTCAATCGGCAGTCACCGGAAATATAAATAATATTAATTTTTCTATGCCACTTCATAAGTGCGACATTTACGGATCGAAGGAGGCGACGAAAAATCTCAGGTAAAAGTGTATCTGAAGCTGAAGAATTTATCGTTTAATAATAAAAATGGGAATCAAGAATAGAAAAGAGCTGAGATCGGCTACTCATGTTATTTTCCTCAATATTTGTGTTTATATTATGAATTCATTTGCGTTTAAAGTAATCTTCATTACGTGATGAAGATTAACTAGGTACTGAGTAATATCAATTCATCAATTGACAACTCTTGTAGTAGCAGAAATTCTTTTATATTAATATGACTAATTTGTGAACATTTAAAAAGGATTATTATTGGTTAGAGAATATTATTTATTAGAGAATTGTAGAAATGTTATACCTTCAGGTGGAAAGAGGAAGGGGAAGATTTTGTACCTCTACCCAATCGTGAAAAATTAACATTTGCCCCAGTTTTTGAAAAAAAAAATTGCAGGTGGTATAATAGGTCTACCAATAATTCATTATGAGTATAATGAATGCAATTAAAACCTCCAAAAAATTGATTATATAAATGGAAAAAGTATATTTCATCATCAATTCATAATTCTCCATTGGTTATGTACAAAATTCATTGAAAAAATGGAATTTGTGGCGCGCCTTTGCGAAAAATCGTAAATACCACGAAAACAGCAACAAAAAATGAAGCACATTCAAACAATAAAAAAAATCCTTTTTTTTCTTCAGGAGCGTAATGAAGATGGGTAGCACACTGGACCTTCCTTCGGCGTTAAAAAAATTGACAAGAACACCGGAGCCACGTGCAGAGCCACTCCTGAGTTACTTCAAGCCAGTCTATAATTTTCTCAAAAAAGAGATCGAATATTTCAATATCCCAGTTGGATGGAATTAAAATCACTCGCCGTTCTGCGTCCCAATCCCATTGTTCGTAAAAACATCAAATTCTTCTCGATTAACTAGAGCAGCGCGTACGTCATCCAATCCAATTATCTCTGGACATCTGGAACAAAAAAAAAACGATGGATAAAGAAAGATCAATCAAAAAAATGTGTTAAATCTTAATAAATTCCCTCACCCTCGACTCCCACTCCTCTCAAAAGATTGAGCGAAGGAAGACCTCAGCAGATCTTCCATCAGACACTCGACAGCCTAGAAATAAAAATAAACAAATTACATTCCTCATTCCCCGCATCCCCAAAAATCATCCCTTTATCAGCATTACAATATCCATTTCTCGATTCCACTGAGAAAAAAAAATGATTTCCAAGTAATTTCCACAAATTTCCAATTACATTTGAATAATTACAATTATACTTCTCTAACAATTATTAGAACCATCATATTACAGTTACTCACAATAACAAAATAATAATTGAATAACCATAAACTAATTCGTATTCTATAATTCGGTAAAATCAAATAGTTTTACGGGATGAAGCTTACCCTAGCCAAAACGCGTCCAGCAGCTGCATGTCTGACACCCTGAACGACCTCCTCCCCGAGGAGTTTAACACCAATCTGCCTGGCAGTTCCACAGACATACGAGTAAATCGGCTCAGCTGATTTTGGCACTTCCATCACAACCCCCCACCCCTCCTGCTCCGCAATCCCTTGCCTCCCCCCATTTCCCTCCCCCACCACATCAACCTCCTCCTCGTCCTCCCTCTCCTCTGCCCCACTTTGCAGCCACTCGAGAAATTCTACTGGTTCCGTACAACTCCTGAATTCCTCCCCCTCCCCCACATCCACCATTTTCTCCGACTTACCCCCACCCCCCCTCACAGGAGTAAAACCGTGCAATCGACACCAGACCATAATCTCCTTAATTGTCCACAATTCCTCCCCAAATCCCCTCCTCCTCAACAAACCGCGAACCTCTTTAGCCCTATACCACTCCAGCGCCCTCTGCTTTCCAGGATTAAATCCTAGAAATTCCTCGTCACTGCTGCAAACGTAAGGATGAAGCCTCCGATACTCAGGATCACCCGAGTGAGACGACACTATCGGAATTCTCTTGATAATGTACCTCATAACTCCCTCTACATCCCCCGATATCTTAATATCCTCGAGACTCCTGAGAATTCCATCGTAGAATTCCCTCCTGCTTCCTAATTTCGTTTTATCCTTTCCAATCGTCACTTTTCCCCTCGTCAATTTACCGTTGGGCTTGTCCCGGAATTCCACAGGTTTTGGCTGGGGCTCAGCTATCTTCAGGACAGGAATATTAGATGAGGAATTCAGGATTATGCTTTTCGTGGGATCGAGAGTCAGGTTGATGGGGTTTTTCGACTTCTTCAGGAGACTCACGGCTTTCGGGGTGGTGCTCACGTCGATCTTTATGGTTTTATGGTTATTGTTTCTCAGGACGATGATCTGGGGATGATTGTCTTGTTTTTTTAGATTTAGGGAGCTGAAGTGCGAGGGGATGGTGATCTTCAGGGGCTCCAGCACCGAGGAGCCGTTCTCAAATATTTTCGGTAAAATTTGTCCCTCGGAATTCACGGGGGATTTATTTACGGGTGAATCACCATTTTGTATCAAAGAATTCGTTGCCTCGAGGGCCTCTTCATGATTGGGGGGATCAGAATCGTTCTTTTTCTCGGGAGAATGTGCGATTGTTATGTTTCCCTCCTCAGGCCCTCCGAAGATGGCGTAATCGTGCTCAAAATGGACATGAGAGAGTACCCTCACCTCATCCTCGTGAACCGTCTCCTCTTTAATCCCTGGAAACTGACCAGTGAACCCCGTGGAGTCCTCCATTATCTCCTGCTTTATCTCGAGTTTACCCCTCGCCATTTTGTTATCAGAGAGGTCGGGGGTCAGAGTATTTATCCAAATATCTACTACAGTCTCTGATCCGAGAGTCTGGAGCCCCGTGTACGTTCTATCAAGCTTGAGATGATGGATAATATCCATTGGCTTGTTATTATGATTCTTAAAATGGAGTTGCACCCTCAGGGGAAATTCTCCCCAGCCCCTCCGACACAGATGAAAGGGCGGGGACGTCACGTCAACGACGTCGTTGGGACGATAACTGGGGTGCAGAAAGAATCTGACTTTTGTGACGAATTCCGAGATATCGGATTCCTCCTTCGGGGCTCTGACGTACATCGTCCACTTGTGAGAGGCAGCGTCCTCTCTCCAGTCCGGGGGAATCCATTTCGAGATATTTCCCACGACTATTCGCTTTCGGATTTTATGACGGACACCCCTGGAGGGAATTTTGGGGTCTGGATTGGAGATTTTTGGGGGGACGTACCTGGGGATTTTTCGTGGAGGCTCTAGGGAGGGCTCAGTCTTCTCCGGAGATCTTTTTAACGTCCTGGCTAGGTCTTGGAGAGGAATTTCAGGTGTCTCCAGGTCTGGGGGAGGCTTCAAGAGCGTCGGGGAGGACGTCGAGGTCGAGGGGAGGTCCTGGAACTTCGGGGACTTCCCTGTGGAGGAACGCACGGCTGGGTGCAGACGGATTTGTTTGGTTTCCGATGGTGGATTTACTAGACATTGCTTTCGAGTGTAGAAATCTGAGATTATCACGTACCGGAGGAAGTGGAGGGTTTTTAAGGCTTTGTCCAATTTATCTTGGATTTGGAGAATTTCTTTCTCTTTTGTGTCGATTTCTAGAGAGAATTCACGGTCGATTATCGAGGTGATCTTCCGGGAGGCATTCGTTCTGGCTGAAAGAGGAAAAACCTTTTCTATTTTTGGTGATGACAACATGAAATTTATTAATCAAATTCTAGGACAGTTCATTTGAGATGAATTTCAATTAATCTGGTTCAATCACTTTAATTAATTCCAATGTTTGATGATCATTTTACAACATACAATGAAGAAAATAAAATATAAATGATGTTGAAGTCGAGATAAACAATAGGAAACCTGTGTTTCTGTAAATAATTTAACGTAAGTTAATTTACAGGGATGAAAGAGAAATGATAAATGTATAATAAATCTATAATTTATTATTTATTTATTTGATAAAGCGATTATCGAGATGAAAGTTGTTAAAACACAATTACTCCAGAATTATCTCACCTGTTTCTTCGTAAATCTTCTGTTGATAACTAGTACTCGGTCCAGGAGTTGCATAATCAGGATCCTGATCATCGAAATTACCCGAATTATTCATTTCATTTGAAAATGAAATATTTCCCCTGCAAATAAATGTAAATCAGATATTCGAGGATGAAAAACATTTGTTTAAGGTTAAGACATGATTGAATAATGTTTTTACTCTAAAATACCATTGATTTTAATAGAGATACTCACCAGAGGATTGAGAATTTCGAGTAAAAATCCTTGATTCTCTTCACCTGGGTGTTTAGTATTTATTTTCAACAATTGCTCTTTAAAAAAAACACTGATATGACAATGCCAGGTACGTAAGGTTATCTCTCCCAAAAATTGACACTCGTTATCAGCATCATGGAGGAATTGCCGGTGGTGTTTGATGAATTCAAAGGGATATTTATCCGGGGTTTACCTTTTATTCTTCCAGAAGTTGAAGGAATTTTATTGAAAATTGAGAAAACTGAACGGAATGTTGTGCCCGGTGCCATCACTTTCACACCCCGTGGACGCTATTCAATTCTGCAACAATTAAAAACCATGAAGTTACTATTTTTATCTTTTCCCCAGATCTAGGGATATTCCATCGTTGCCTCGACTGAATGAAGATTTTAATTCAAAGCATTTACTAATGAAATCCACGATTTATAAAATATTGTTTTCTCATTCTTTGAGGGTTCGACCGTGAAAGTAATAATGAATATTTAGAACGGAAATTGAATATCAATTTAAAATAATTATTAATTATCTGTTATGTAAGTAATCAATTCTTCAGAATTTTATGTTTTTCAATTTAAATTGTTGATTATTGTTTTGTTTCATTGAAATTTATTATAAATTTATAAATATTATTATTATTATTAATATAATTTTATAGATTTTTTATAGGAGTTATTGCCCAATTTATGTTTTGGCAGATTTTCGGAAAATTGTTGATGATTGAGAGAAAAACAAAAAATTATTGACTTTCAGCAGTGCAATAATTATTCTTTCTCCCAATATTCAAAAATCTTTGTGAAACTCCAAAAATTTGATGAAAATAATGGAAGAATTCTGAAAGAAAGTAGAAAAGCAGAGTCGATAAACTAGAACCCAAAACAACACTTCCACCCCAATTCTGGGGGAGAAAAGAGCGCCCCCACTCGCCCTTGCATCCCCTATGCAATTCGAAGTAAATATATACCCCTCGGAAGTACATACACCAAGGGGGGGTGATATAATCTGTCATATGGGGTCGAGAAAGGCGCCGTGTTGGGTTCTTTTGAGCCAACACGGGCGCCTCTAATCACAAACAAATTATCCCCATGGAAAAAATCGTTTGCAACAGTGAATCCAAACATACGGTCAATGCAAACAGCTGTTAACCAATATCGCGTACAGTGAGATAAATAAAAAGTTTAAAATTCCAGTTAAAAGTTTATCGCAAGTGCAGATGCACTCACTGGGGGGTGGGATGGGGGGATACAAATTAGTGGCAAATATGGGTCACTTTCACGGTGATGCACTTATTCGATAGTGACATCCAGTGTTTCTGGTAATTCAATTAATTCCAATAAAATCTCACTGATCCATCAATTCCTCAACAAATCTGCACACGTCAAAAATTATTCTCCTCATTTTCCATCACTCGATCGGTTGTATGGGTTTCCGGGAGACGATCGATTCTTCCCTGAAAGTAAAACAAATAAAATGAAAAATTATTGATCTAATTTTCTTATCAAGTTAGGAATAAATTACGAACATTTGCTCTCATGATTGAAATTTAATTTCGAGGTTGTGAGAATTGAGGGATCTTTTTGATACCGATTTTCCGTTACTTTTAAATTTTCATTGGAGAATTTGATAATTTTTTATTTCCTTTCGTCTCGACGACAGGTGATAGCCGGAAGTGGCTCCAGTTGTTAAAATGGCGGCGTCAAAACCACCGGAAATGAACTACACGTGTGAGATATGCGGATTGGAGGGATTCAATGATGAAGAGATGAGATCGCACATGGTTATTTATCATCTTCAAGGAGCTGCTAGCTGTCCCTTTTGCGATTTGGGAGAAATTTCACCAGCTGAGATGTTGCTTCACGTTAATAGCGCCCATTTGGACTATCTCACCCCGAGGTGAGGGCTGATTAATCTCGGATTATTCTACTTTTTTCACCCCAAACATTACCTCCGATTTTTATCAGTAGAAATAGTCACCACCGATCAGGTGCAACAGCTGATTCTCATCAGTAAACAGAAAAGAGACCGTCCATCCATTTTTCCTCTCTTTAATTCTTATCTATATCATCCCTAAAACCATTAACAACTTAACAATAAACAACTCTATTCATTTATTCTCCATAAAATGCGCATCAATCCCGAAGGAAATCAATATTAATTAGTTAATTAAATGATGACAATTAGATTGAACAATTTAACATAAACGTGAAAGAGAAAAAGAAATTCCTTTGCCAAAAATATTTACTTGGCAGTAGTAAATATACATACTTATATATAAATACTTCCATATGACATGACGTGATGACATGAAAATTCTCTCGGTGTTGTATATTTGATAAAGATTTTTGAATTTCTTAATTCCTCGTACATTTTCATCCCTTCTCCTCGCGAAGCAGATGGCGTTAATTCTCAGCCGATTCCTTTGAGTAGTCATCACAAAAAAACAGTGAAAAATCCATCGCCATGACGATCGGCTCCAATTTGATCCCGAAAAAGCGGAGGAAATGGTAGAACCTGTGGATATAAAAAAAAAGGAAGTTTGTCAGATGTATATTTTTCTTGCAGCACTCCCGAGAACGATATGATGGCGTTCATCGACGACGACTCGACGATGGAGGACTCGGTGAAAGACGACGACATAACCCAGGACTTATCATCTGAATTATTCAATGATTCAATGCAATCGCATCAGTCACACCTGGTGAATGGCTGGAGTGAGGCCGCCAGAGGTGGTGATTCCCTGAGGGACTCTAAACCACCCAGTCCACCATCCAGCCCCATCAACAACAACAACAACAATATCAACAACGCTGGGAGTGTGGCTGGTGGAGCTAATGTCAACAGCGGTGAGACCATGGCTCATCAAATTTAAATGATAAAATTAATTAATCTCTTCAGTTTTTCATATTTTTTCAATTTAATCGTCGATTATTGTTTTGTATAATTGGATTTTTTAAGGATTTCTGTAGATTTTCGACGCGATTTTTATATCACTTTATTTTTTTTTGAGATTTATGAAAAATTGTTAATTAGACTGACATGAAAAAATGATATAATTTGATTTGATCTGATTGGATAGTTGGAAATAAGTGAAAAACATATGTGCGTTGACAGAATCATCAGCAGGTCACGGTTCTCCCCTGCGTACCAGTTTGAATCTCCAGCTGCGTTCATACGCATCCCCAAAGCCACGAGTCCAGGAGTGTCCAATGTGCCCGTACAGTTCAGACAGTCATCTCCGTCTGGAGGAACACATAAATCGTCAACACTTCGACCTGACATCTCCCTCATTTCCACCAGAGTCACCCCCAACCCGAGACAGCGTCTTCAACTGTCCCTTATGCGTCACATCATTCCCCAACTCGTCAGACCTAGAGCTCCACGTGAATATCGAGCACAAGGACATCCTCAGCCCAGCAAAGGGCTCTGGCGAACGATCAGACGTAGCCTCCAGTGAACCTGACACACCGACATGTCCAGTCTGTCTGAGCACTTCCTTCAGAACCAGTGAAGAGCTCACTGTTCACATCGAGGAGCACTTCACCAAGAAGGGAACACCCTCACCAGTGACACCTGACTCCTCCTCAGACAGACTTCTCGCTAGGGACATGGAGAGGCGAGAAAAAGAGGTCAGAAAACTCAGGGAGCAGAGGGAATTCGAGATGCTCAGGGCTCAGTACGGCATGGATAATCAGGGTAATTTTAGAGAGCAGAGTGTTACTAACATGCAGAGAGCTGTTTACGCTGGAGAAATGTCTGTTGCTGACTTTTATGAGCGACAGATTGAACTCAAAGCAGCTGAGTATAACGGAATTGACGATGGCAGCTCTTGTACTCGAGGTGAGACTCTTTCACTTTATTATCCCTTCAAATAAAATCCTGCAAGAAAATTTACACGTGAATATTTACATTTAAAAACGAAAAACATATACCGACATAAACATATAAAACATATAAATAGTAGTAGTAGTGGCCGTGCGGTTAGAGTGCTGGACTAGCATGCCAAGGATCCGGGTTCGATCCCGGGCACCGGCGGTCAAAAATATATAGCGCTCTGATCTCACGGTTTCACTGCCGAGCGGGTAGTCCTGTCAAAAGGACGACTGTACCAGGGCAGGTTTTTCCCTCAGATGAGGTTTTCCCTCCCTTTCAGCAAATGCGGTACAGGGGGTTGGGGGGTGCGAAGGGAACAAATCGTAAAAACCCGAAAGGGTATACGAGTGAAAGAAAATTTTAACTAAAAACATATCTCCAACAAAATCAATTCGATCTATTCTACGGATTTGTCTTCTGCAAATGGGTATTGACTCTTTGAAGAAATCAAATGACTTCAATCGATAAGATCCCTAAATAATAGTTTTTGACAATTTTAATATTCAGGACTGGTACCAAAAGTGAGAGCAGTGAGTCAAGGATGCAGTAACGTGATAAATACCTGGATGTGCTCAACAGTCGATCATTATGGCTCAACCTATGGAGATAAAGGCTGGGGCTGTGGTTACAGAAACATCCAGATGATGATATCCTCCCTTTTGCAACACACTGGATACAACGAGCTCGTGTACAGAGCCTGGAGCTCAGTGGGAAGTACAGGCTCCGATAATCCCCTGAGAAGCTCGATGCCCTCGATATCGAGACTCCAAAGAATGATAGAGTGGGCGTGGGCACAGGGCTTCGATGTCCAGGGGGCTGAGCAACTCGGTGGAAAACTCGTCAACACCAGAAAGTGGATCGGAGCAACTGAAGTTGTTACCCTATTTTCCAGCCTGAGAATGAAGTGTCAGCTAGTAGATTTTCATCGACCCACTGGCCTAGATGGAAGTCATCCAGAGATGTTCAATTGGGTACTTCAGTATTTTCAGAAGAGTGATGACTTTAAACCACCGATTTATCTTCAACATCAGGGACACAGTCGAACGATAATGGGGGTTGAGCAGCTCAGAGATGGCTCAATTACAATGCTTGTACTTGATCCCAGTCATACACCTGTTCAAATGGGACAGTTCAATAGTACCAGCAGTGCACCTGGCGCTATGAGACTCATCAGAAAATCAACTGCTGCCATGAAAGCTAGGCAGTATCAAATTGTTGCTGTTGTGGGAACTATAGACTCTGAATCACGTTATCAGGTAATACAATCTTAATAAAGTGTAGAGAAGAATTTGAAGTAAAAAATTGTCAAAGTACTCGAATATTTTTAATCGCATGCTAACAATTGATTGATTGATCAATAAAAATTCTGTTTGCAGTTGAGTAAAGTATTGAGAACACTTAGAATCCCTCAAGACAGGTGAGAATCACCAGCGACTCCAGGACCTAATCACCTCCTGATCCTAGTGTTTTAATTAATAAATTGAAAATTGGTGAGAATAATCGAAATGATAAAGTCTCGTGGCTGGACTCGAGGTTTAGAATCATCGAGAGAAAATTTTCACTGAAGGAAACCAAAATAAAATATTCTCTCTTATTCCTTAAATTTTCAATAATACGAAAGTACCGATTAAATTTCTTTCACCCATGAATTTTCATCATTTAAAAAATCCAACTAGTCAATAAATGCTTAGCCCAGTTGATCGTTGAAATAAAAATTTAAGAAAAATTGTTAATTATCACAAAATAGACGAGCACCTATTTGCCTCATTAATCGTTCACAGAACACGAAGAAAAGAAAAAGAAAAACTAACGAGAAGAATGAGAAAATGCATTCATAAAGTACAACTATACTTTCATACTCTTAGAATAATTTATAATAAATAAATCATCGATAAGTGATTAAATACAATTTCTTTCCTATTTATAAAATCAATAGACGAATTTTAAAGAATTATGTGGTGTTATGCGACGCATTGAATTGCTCTTTAATCATCTAAAACCCCAAATGTTCAGTAATATCGAGAGATTCCCCATTTCCCTTGATCTAGTGTGCCCTAATTCATTTCTCGTACTTCTCCAGATATTAATCTTTATTTTTAATAATAAATTATTAAGGTTGATTAATTATTAGATTAACAAAGGCTGTTACCATTTATTCCCTCAATGGATCACTCGCTCGTTTTAATAGCATCTACCATGATTGAATTGTTAGTCAAGTGGTGGATGACAAGATAATTCCAAAAAAAAAACCTAATTTGATAATTATTTCGCTAATATCTCCAAAATGAAGAACTCACAAATAATTGAATATTTCCGTGAAGATTAATTCCCCCGATATTTTCGAAATATTCTCAACATAATTTATGGACTTGTCTACCGCTGCCATTTTGCTGCAGATATTAAAATTGTTACAACAGTCATTAAATCAATTACTGTCAATATTTGTAAATTATATGCTTTACTAGATTCTCCTGGAATAAACTTGACTATTTATAATAAATATTGAACGATTTTATTCACTACTCTAATTATTTTACAAAATGAATAATCAACATGTCAAATCGAACAAGTGATTAATTACTAAATAATCTGCATAAATATTATGAATTATACTATCTCTGAAGAAAAATGCTGACCGAAGAAAATAGTATATTTTGATACAAGTGCAGAAAAGTGTTCTTTAACTCGTGGGATTTTATGGCAGGGCCCGGCAACCTGGGCCCATCGGCCCTCATCCATTTAACTTTATAATTCAAAAAATGAATTTTAGAATCTTTATAGAACGCGTATGCACTCACCGATAAACATGCAGCCACGTGAGGAGTTCAGTTCGCACTTCGATTTCAATGAGAGAAGTATTTACAATGATTCAGCACATATAATTTTTATATATATATATATTTCATCTTTTTTTATAAGTTTGAATTCATAACGATTTTGAAGGAAAATCTTACTATCCTGAATTGCCTTAATCTTGCAGAAATATTATTTCAAGATCCTCGTTGGCGTCTTCTCTATAGGGAATGCCCCCTAACGAGTTCCTTGAAATATCAATATCTTCAAATGAATCCCACTTCAAGCTAACTTTCCAGGGCTGCTGAAACAAATCATCTTACATTGAGTACCTTCACGATTTACTGCAAAATATTCTCGTGTATTAGATGTACAGATTAACAAAATAAATGGACTTTCCTATGGCCTAATTTAAACGGAAGTTCTAAATTTTTTAAAGGAAAATATAGCATTAAGATTATTTTTTCAGAAAATTGTGTGCAAATCGTTTGTGTCGACTGGTAGAAGTAAAAAATCATTTTAATTGGAAATTATTGATACAACTTACCCCATCGTCGGCCAATGCTAACCGCGTCGCACATAGAATGAGATAAAAACAAGTAACGAATTTCATAACTAGAACAGAATTCACGACAAGTTAATTTTTAGAGACAACTCTGCCTTATTTATTGTCACTGCTCACCTGAATAAATATCAATTTAGGTTTCCGCAACCAGTAATGTCTGCTACCGAATAAAATTTGAGGAAAAAAACGCCTGATAAGTTATAAACATATATACACATCCTTCCAAGTATGTCAATAAACCTTCAGTCAAACTACACCGAAATTTGGTAATTAATCAGTATCCAATGGATAATTAATGCCGGTATCAATTTTTTTTTCTTAAGGATTCCAAGTAATTTCACGATTTTATCATCTTCTGGAGTTATTTCCCCTGATTGTCTATTTATTCGGGTGAATTATCACACTTCATACACATTCTCACGAGAAGGCCAAATTTTATAGCCAAAAGTTGTACAAAACATCAATAAATGATTTAATGCGTCTACGTCATCTTTCCGCAATTTTTGATAAATGTTCTAAAACCAAAAGTTTCTATTTAAAAACATATACTATTTGAGATTTTTTTGAGGATCATCAGATCGTTAATTAACAAATTAATGATGTTTCTTTATTCGTTAAATTTTTGCGATAGGTTTTGTCCTTCGACAAAATGTTTTCCATCATCATGAAACTCGTCTGGGAATAAACAATATAATGTGGAGAATTTTCGGGATTTGTTCATCACCCAGATTTATCGTTTAAAATACGCAAAAAAATGAAACGCATTCATAAATCCTTTGAAATCTCATAGCATAATTGTCAATTGAATTCCTTTTAGTAAATTCTTGAGAGACCGTTCATAAAATTTACAAGAAAATAAAACGTTTTCGATATTTCTTACTATTTAATGTCGCACGAAGTTTTATGACCGTCGAAGAATTTTCTGACGTTCTCAGGACACTTTTGCAGACATTCACAGAACTGAACCAAAAATTTCGAGCAATAGATGTAAAAATTGAATATTCGTTCACTTTATTCTGATCCATGATTCCCCAGAAATTTACAAAGAACATGAAACATGAGAAGAGATCGGCAATCACTTAACTTTTTACGATTCACTGAAATTTCATCTGAATTTTCAATATTATAATTATTATAATTTTTCAGTGCCATTTCAACAAGAAATAGAGAATTGAAGAGGAAGTGTAGAAGGTGAAGTAGAAGGAAATCTCTAGTATTCCTGCAGAAAAATCGAGTTATTTATAGCTGTCTAAGTGATACTAATAATAGTAATACTAATAATAATATCAAAAAACTTGATGTTTAATAATTTTACAAGCTACAACATATTAGTTAAATTCATTTATTAAATAATAATTTTTTACTCCTCGCACGTTCTAGTTTTATTCGGTCCATTCTTAATGTACACCTCACCATACATCAATTTCTTTGCTGTTGATGAACGGTTTTCCCACACAGTGAACACTGTCCTCAGCATCGGCGCTGCCGTGTCTACTTTCAACTGCATGCACGATTTCTGTATTAGTAAAGTAGGTATATCAGGTCCGGGTCCCTAGAATAAAAAAAAAACTTGAACTACTCGCATAGGAAAATATTGAATATTTCTACCACAAAAATTAAACAATACCCTTCTTCTTGCCTTGACAATGAAAATAACCACTGTTATGAATAATTGCTTACCGTACTTATAGGACATTCCCCGGAAATGTGAAATAACTTTCGTAACATGTATAAGAAGCTACAAGGATCGGCTGGTTCACAAAAGGAAGCCGTCTCGTTGTACAATGGCATCCATGTACCAAATATCTTTGTCAAATTAGGCCTGTGGAAATATTGCATTTGACTCTGGACCTACATGAAACAAATACAATTATTATATTAGATACAGAGCTGTTTCTATATGTTATTGATTTATATTCGTTGAGCTCTGACGATGAGCAGTTTACGCTGATAAGATGTCAAGCTTTTCTCAACATTATTCTTAAGCGGGGTCATCAGCAAAAAAATAGAAAATTTCTCAATGTGCCAGAACAATAAAACTTTACACACTACGGCGGTCAAGCATAATTTCATATCTTCATAACTTCTAGATTTTTTAATGAACTAGGATAAACGCGCTGTAGGTCGATTGCATGGTTGTGATGCCACTTCTTCTATACGAATCAATCACTTTAGATACTAACGTAATTCTATCGATAATTTCTTTAACAAAAAAAATAGTAGGAATTTAAAGGTGGAACTGAAATAACTATTGTAATTTCAGTAACAAATATTAACACTCACCAACCTGGCCTCTCTTTTCCTTCATTACAGTTTACTCATTAATGTTATTCGTGTCTAATGACCCTCCTTAAATTAATCTTAAGTTTCTAAAAATCAATAATCAGTCTGATCCAGCGCAAGTTGGTATTATAGGATTACTTACATATATTTCAGTGTCGTTCTTTATTTCTTGTAGAATATCTAGTCTATCGAAATATATCCCCTTTGGTTCTGAATGGGGGGGAATACGTTTTATCCAGGGGGTCATTCCAATTTGAATACCCCTATAATAATGAAGCGCGGGATCTATTATGGAGGTGCACTGAAACAAATCATCTTACATTGAGTATCTTCACGATTTACTGCAAAATATTCTCGTGTATTACATTTACGGATTAACCAAATAAACGGAGTTTGCTATGGCTTAATTTAAACGAAAGTTCCAAATTTTTTTAAGGAAAATGTAGCATTTAAATTATTTTTTAATAAAATTATGTGTGCAAATCGTTTGTGTCAACTGGTAGAGGTGAAAAATAATTTAAATTGTAAATCATTGATACAACTTACCGAATCATCGGCCAACGCAAACTGCGTCGCACATAGTATGAGACAAAGACAAGTAACGAATTTCATAATTACACCAGAATTTAGAATGAGTTAATTTTTGTGGAAAGCACTGCCTTATATATTGTCAATGCTGAGCTAGGTAAACATAGATTTAGGTTTACACAACCAGAAGTGTCTGTTGTCTAACCGAATATGAGGAGAAAACACCTGATAAGTTGATAATATTTCCAAATATTTACAATGTTATGACGTCATCAAGACACTTTTGCAGACATTCACAGAACTGCCCCAGAAATTTCGAAAAATAGATGTACGATTATGAACACCTGTGAAGCATTGAATACTAACACCGCAAAATTGCATAGTCGTTCACTTTATCCTGGTCCATGATTCCCCAGAAATTTACAAAAATGAGAAGAGAGCAGCAATAATTGCACTTTTTACGATTTATGGAAATTTCTTTCATAAATTGATCTGAATTTTCAATTCTATGTTTGAATTAAATTCAATTAAAAATTATCAATAAATATACTATTTGTCTTGGGAATTTCAGAACATTAGAGTCTTCGTGTTAAATAATAATTGATTTTTTAATGAAAATTTTAGACATATTATTGTTTGAATTTTCAACGTTATTACGATTTTCCAGTTCGATTTCGACAAAAAATAGAGAATTGAAGAGGAAGGGTAGCAGGTGAGCTAGAGGAGAATCTTGAGTATTTCTGCAGAAGACTAATATTCCGGGCCTATTTATGCACCTAAGAAAATTTTTTTTTCTTAACTAATCAATTTTATCAATAAAATAAAATAGTATTCAGATAATAAATTAAATTAATAAAATTACAGTAAACAATTTATCCTCCAAGAGCTGGTAGTAGTTGTTCGCTCTGTAAAAATATTTCTCAGTGGCAAGTTAAAAATCCAACCCATAAACCTCCTAAAGGGAAATAAAAAAATAAATTATCATTGGAAGCAGAATGGTTTTGACAGTCGGAAACATTTTTTATCAGAGATATTCAGTCACCGCGGAATCTCCCACTCGAGCTCTAGTTTCAAGGTCGCGACAAATTTGAGGTGCGCGTGCCGGAATCCAACTTTTTCGGAATTTTTACAATAATTTTTGACCTAAGAATTTTATTTTTTATCATTCAATGTGCCGGCAAAGTTTCATCACTTCGGCTGCAGTTTTTATTTGGTTTATCATACCTTTTCATTGAGTCCCAGATGAGCACGGATTAAATGACCACTTTTTCAACAATTAATTAAAAAATAACTATATCCTCAATCGAATTTATGGACTTGTCTAGCTCTCTTTTTGCTACAGATATTAAAATATTTACAACAGTCATTAAATGAATTACTGCCCACATTTGTAAATTATATGGTTTACTAGATTCTTCTGGAATAAAATTAACTATTTATAATAAATATTGAACGATTTTATTCATTATTCTAGTTATTTTACAGAATGGATAATCAACATGTCAATTCAAACTAGTGATTAATCACTAAATAATCTACATAAATATTGTGAATTATACTATCCCTGAAGAAAAATGCTGACTATCCGACGAAAAACGAAAGGGAAAAAAACGATCAACGGCTTTAGGATTTTTACAACCTGAGAGGAATGATCAGGGATTTGACTATATGTTGAAACCCAGATGACGCATACAGGCTTTGTGGGCCTCGATCAGGTGTCCACACTCCTCCTGGCCCTTCTCCATTATGCTGAAAATAAAAGTCACCACTAATGTTATATATGTTCTTCCGCTTCGAAGCTTTGTAATCAATTTTTTCAATTTTCTCATTTTCCTTGAAAATGCTGTGGAATTTTATAAACCGTGAAAATACGAAATGTGTGTATAAAAAAAAATCTGTAAACGGAGTAAAGTTCAAGCTGAAAATCTGAAATTTTGTGGAATAATGGGAATTATATGAGAGCTTATTGGGGTCAAATTCCAGATTGATCGGTTGAGCATCTCTCGAGATATATCGATTTCTCCAAAAATGTTTTTTTTTCGATTATCTCAAAAACTAAGGATTCAAGAATGATCTGTCCCCTTTTAACTAAAATTATCAGTTTTTTAAGCTTTCTGGAAAATTGTTGATTGGATTGCCCTAAAAACTCTACCCTTTTTGCGCTTTATCATAATTATCATAATAAAATGCGAAAATATTCAAGTTTTGGGCTAAAAAAGGTTAAAACATTCTCAAATAATAAATGGAAACTTATTTCGATGGTTATCACTATTTGCAAGTGATTTGCCGGCATTTTTGAGGTTATGCTCGTGTGGAGGAGATAAAAATAAATCTATCCAAATAAAATAAACCCTAAGCCACTACCAGGGATCATCAGGGGTTGTATAATAAATAATTCTATCGCACTTCAACTGACATTCTTGAGATGATGAGAAAATCGAAAGGGATTTATACTAACCAAGTGTCTCGAATTTTCTTGGTCTCTGGACACGCACAACAGGGTTTCAATTTTTTCTCATCCTTCTGAGATTTCGCTTCAACAGCTACAGCTTGTGGTGCTGCATTCCCCATTATCAATGAACTTATTCAAACTTCTTTAAGAAAAAGGAAAAATTGTCAATGTGAGGTATAATCAGAAGAATTTTCTCCATCAGCGAGAATAAACTCCGGCAGTCTGATTGGATACGAGAGATAATGTCGCACGTGCGCAGATGGATTATCAGAGGAATAATTAAACAAAATTTAAATGGTAATTGCAAATTTCTGGAAAAATCAGGTACAATCTCATTCCCTCCAGGTATTCAGGAAATTGTCTCAAAAATTCTGAAGACGAAAACAACAAATCAACTCCGGAAGAAATTGTGGGAAAGAAATTTTCATCTAGTTTTTGTCATTTCTTCTCTCAAGATGGCGATTATTTTCGAGAGAGAGATGAAAGATGATGAGAGCTATTGGAGGTACCACCACAACATGACTCATAACCTCTTCGAGAGATAATTCTTGACAGCAGCACTCATGAACCTGCTCCAGTGGATAGGGAATACGAAAATAATTATTTTGTAGGGATTTGAGGGTGAGAGCATCATGGACTCTTCCAAGGTAATTCCAGAATTTAATTTCTTCATTGCAATAGGTGCGATGGATTTTTCAATAGTCTGGGTGTTTTTCAGGATGACTCCAGCAATCAGGAGGACTCTTACTCAGACGTAGACGAGATTGAGCCAAAGCTGAAGTATGTCAGGATGCAAAATGACATCAAGGGCATTCTCGTGAATGATGCAGCTAGCTGCATCGCTGTCCATCCCAAGGTACTGAAGGATTTGTCAGACAAAAGGACAGATTATTTTTCATTCTGTTTTGATCATGACGGCCTGGCCCTATCCTGGTCTTTGTAAAATTTCACCAATTTCTTTTTCCACTTCAACTAAAGACTTAACTCACTCACGTCTTGCAGTTCCTCTGCCTGGGCTCTCACTGGGGTCGAATCCACGTGTTGGACCACCAAGGGAACAACATCCAATCGAAGACCCTCCAAGCCCACACAGTGGCAGTCAATCAAATTTCGATCGACCACAAGGGCGACTACATCGCCTCCTGCAGCGATGATGGCAAAGTCTACATCTACGGCCTCTATACAACCGACAATAACCACAACATGTCCCTTGGTCGTCTGGTGAAGTCCATCGCCATTGACCCAAGCTACTCCAAACCTGGTGGCTCCAAAAAATTCATAACTGGTGACGACAAACTCGTCCTCTACGAGAAGACCTTTCTATCGCGAATGAAACTGTCTGTTCTCTGTGATGCGGAGGGTGGAGTTCGATCTGTTGCCTGGATGGGACAATTTGTCGCCTGGGCTTCAGACACAGGTGTCAGAGTGTACGATCTGAACTCCAAGTGCTCTCTAGGTCTCATCAAATGGACAACCAGTCCACCTGCCCTCCCTGAGCACTACCGTTGCAATTTACGATGGACGAACTCCAGGACACTCCTCATCGGCTGGGTGGACACAGTTCGAATCTGTCAGATCCGAAAACGCTCCACTCAGGAGACACCGGGGCAGAATCTCGCGGAGTTCCTCATCGATCCCGTCTCGACCTTTCAGGTGGACTTTTATATATCGGGAATAGCCCCTCTGGACACGCAACTGGTGCTGCTGGGGTGTCCGAAGGAGCCAGATGACTCTGGAAAATCTCAACGCCCAACTCTTCACATTGTGGATCCCAAGTATCAGGATTCCCAAACAATTTGTGCCAACTATCTGACTCTACGTGGCTACAAGGAATACTCCTGTAACGATTACCATCTCGACTGTCTCCCCGAGGAAAACCGATTCTTCATAGTCTCTCCCAAGGACATCGTGATCGCCTCGTTGTACGACTCTGACGACAGACTGGAGTGGCTTCTGTCTCATGGTAAATTCGAAGCAGCCCTGGAGGCTGTGTCCCTCAATGACGGAAGGGACTGCAAACGTCACACTCTCATCAACGTTGGTAGAGTTTACCTGGACCATCTACTGGGGACTCAGCAGTACGAGGAAGCTGGGAAATTGTGCTTGAAGGTCCTGGGAAGAGACAAAAAACTCTGGGAAGAAGAGGTGTACAAGTTCGCCAGAGTCCACCAGCTGAGATCTATCTCCTCGTACCTCCCCAGAGGTGACGTCACCCTGGATCCCCTGATCTACGAGATGGTGTTGTACGAGTATCTGAAAATGGATCCTGATGGATTTCTACAGCTAGTTAGGGAGTGGTCACCAAAACTCTACACTGTGGCTGCTGTTGTCAATGGAGTTTTAGAGCACCTCCTCATGCACAATCAGAAGCAAAATGTCCTACTAGAGGCACTGGCCATTTTGTACTCCCACGATGGCAAGTATGACAAGGCCTTGGCAATGTACCTCAAGCTCAGGCACAAGGATGTATTCCAGTTGATCCAGAGGCATCAGCTCTGGAGCTCGGTTTATGATATGATCGAAGGCCTCATGGATCTCGATGCTGACAGGGCCATTGCCATGATCCTGGACAAGGACAAGGTGCCTAGTGATTTGATTGTCAAGAAGCTGCAGAATAATCACAGATATCTTTACCTGTATCTCGATGCTCTCGATAAGAAGGACATGAAGGACTGCAAGGGGAAGTATCATGGACTCCTCGTCAGGTTGTACGCTGACTACTCCAGGGACAAACTTCTCCCATTGCTGAGGAGATCTGACAATTATCCAATCCAGCAGGCACTGGATATCTGCAGTCAGAGGCAATTCTATCCGGAAATGGTTTATCTCCTGGGGAGAATTGGTAATACAAGTGAAGCTCTTGCACTCATGACTAGGGAGCTGGGGGATATGGAAGCTGCTATCGAATTCTGCCAGGAGCACGACGATGAGGAGCTGTGGAATGATCTTATTAATTATTCGTTGAACAAGTCGGAGAATATCACCTTCCTGCTTCAAAAAATTGGAACGTATGTGGACCCCAGGCTGATGGTACAGAGGATTAACCCCTCGATGGAGATTCCTGGCCTCAAGAAGGCTCTTATCAAGATGATGTGTGATTATAATCTCCAGGTGTCTGTCCAGGAGGGGTGCAAGAAAATTCTCTCTGGAGATTATTTCAATCTTCATGAGAGAATCGTTAGGTCTCATCAGAAGGGAATTTTTGTCGATGATGATCAGATGTGTGGGGCTTGCCACAGAAAAGTCATCGTCAGAGATCCCAGGAATCTAGTCGTTTTTTATTGTAAGCATCTGTTCCATGAGGAGTGTCTGCCTGATCTTGAAAATGTTGAGAATTGTGTTATTTGTAATCCTGGGAAGGATAAGTTCAAGTGAGAAATTTTTATAATTTTTGCAGCTAAATGCATTATCTTGTTTTCTATTTTAGTATCGTACTTCAATCGTACCACCTGAGATCATGAAATTTTTTTATTGAATTGAAATTTTAACTTTAATTTTTTAATGATTGAAATATTCTCTCGGTACTGATAGTCGCAATTAAATTAATTCTTCAATCAATTGTACATAATTCTATTTTCATTAACAGTAAGAATGTTCATGAGAGCAAAAATCTAGAATAATTATTTTTTTAAGCTGAAAAAAAACTGGTTTGTACACTGAAAATTTATAAAGCTTTCGTTTTTTTGTTTAAAAATTTAAAGAAATGTAAATAATCATGATTGAATAAATCATTCGTAGAGAACTGAATAAACTAAAATACATAAAACAGATTTCGATTAACTAATTGATTATTATCATTAAGTTTTCAAAATTTTTTATTACTTCGATTTTCCTTACTAATATACAATAACTTGGCGGCCAAGCGTATCATTACATTTTTTATTCCAATTTGCGAGTGAAATGTATCTTCAGCTAAAGAATATCATCAGGATAAACTCCAGTGACGGATTAACAGTTGAGGGGCATATGAATAATTCAGATGGATTATACTATACAAATAATTGAGGTACTGATTTATTGAATGAACTGATGAGTTGATTTCCCAACCATTATCTCTTAAAAATGTGTCACATTTTTCTTATTCACTTCGATGGTGTTTATTGTTTGGCGAGGGTCTCGGCCTTGGCGACGACCTCTTCGATGGGCCCCACCATGTAGAAGGCCACCTCTGGCAGGTGATCGAGCTCACCACCTAGGATCTTCTGGAATCCCTTGATCGTCTCTGGGAGGGGCACCAGCTTTCCTGCGTGTCCAGTGAAGACCTCAGCGACCTTTTAATTGGAACAAAAAATCAGCCACAAATGTATCTTTTAAAAAATTCCTTCTCTGATGGAAAATTCTATCTAAATTTATCAAGAATGGACACAAATGTTATAAAATAATTCGATAATAACGATTAAATGATAATATAGATGAATAAAATACCTGGAATGGCTGAGAGAGGAACCTCTGGATTTTCCTAGCACGTGCAACAGTGAGTTTGTCCTCCTCAGACAATTCGTCCATACCCAAGATAGCAATGATATCCTGAAGGGACTTGTAGTCCTGGAGAATCTTCTGTACACCACGAGCGATATTGTAGTGCTCTGGCCCAATGATATTGGGATCCATAATACGAGATGTAGAGTCAAGGGGATCGACAGCTGGATAAATTCCAAGCTCAGCAATAGCACGTGATAACACAGTGGTGGCGTCCAAATGGGCGAAGGTAGTGGCTGGAGCTGGATCAGTCAAATCGTCAGCTGGCACATAAATGGCCTGCACCGAAGTGATGGAACCCTTCTTGGTGGTGGTGATGCGCTCCTGCATGGTACCCATGTCAGTGGCCAGAGTGGGCTGATATCCTACAGCCGATGGAATACGACCCAGAAGGGCAGATACCTGAGAGAAAAATTAAATATTTGAGTATTCCAAAATGTAGGAATGCGTGGATGAAAATAATAACAAAAACAATTACCTCAGAACCAGCCTGAGTGAACCTGAAGATATTATCAATGAATAACAACACATCCTGTCCTTCCTGATCCCTGAAGTACTCAGCAACAGTGAGTCCTGTGAGGGCAACCCTAGCCCTGGCACCAGGTGGTTCATTCATCTGTCCATATACAAGGGCGACCTTCGAGGTTTTATCCTTGAGTGAAATAACACCAGACTCAATCATCTCGTGGTACAGATCATTTCCCTCACGAGTTCTCTCCCCAACTCCAGCAAATACAGAGTATCCACCATGTGCCTTGGCAACATTGTTGATGAGCTCCATAATGAGGACAGTTTTACCCACACCAGCACCTCCAAACAGACCAATCTTTCCTCCCTTGGCGTAGGGAGCCAGGAGATCCACAACTTTGATACCAGTCACAAGGATTTCCTGCTCGACACTCATATCCACGAATTCTGGTGCATCTGCGTGAATGGGGGCGAGTTTGTCAGTGTTCACTGGACCACGCTCGTCAATTGGTTCACCGATTACGTTGATAATTCGTCCCAGGGTCTCAGCACCCACTGGAATTCTAATGGGAAATCCAGAGTCCAGGACTGGTTGACCTCGGATGAGACCTTCTGTACCGTCCATGGCGATTGTACGCACGGTATTCTCACCCAAATGCTGGGCAACCTCCAGGACAAGACGTGGAGATCGATTCTGAACCTCCAGGGCGTTCAGAATTGGGGGGAGGGCATCGTCGAACTGAACGTCAACCACAGCTCCAATTACAGCTACGATTCTGCCAGTTACTGTGCCAGCTTTTGGCTGGGTCGCTGCCTTCGCTGCATAGTCACGTCCTGGGAAATAATTCGGATTTATTTAATTCTCGAATGGATTTATTTACTGCAGTAGCGAAGACGTAAGTATTCAGGGGTTCAGGGATTCTGAATCTTGGGGAGACAGAGAAATTCTTGTTCTGAGATTTTTTGGAGTTCTCAGTCCAATCTACAATAAAGATCCTGAGGAATATTTCGCGATATCCATTAGCAGCTGAGATATTCCTAAAACTTGATGAGTCGACTCTAGACTACAGGGATTTTTCACAGTGATTTTATTTTCTATCCATGAAGATTAATCGATTAAGATTACTTAATGTATATATTTAATTACAGTGAGATCAATTAAATTACGTAATTGTTTGATGAATCGATTTGAAAACTCGTTAATTATTCCAGAACACTTGAGAAACATTCATATGGATTGTTTAATAAAATAAACCCGAAGGCTTTAATCAAGCCACTCATTACATAATAATCGCGAATTTCTGGTCTCATTTGAAAATTCCACCCTGGGCCTCTGAGCCCTGAAGAACTCTCGAAGAGGTCCTCACAATAATCTCCAGAAACCAAAAATTACCCCCAAATAAATCTCAGGAAAAGTGGAGTAGATGAAAGAAGAGACTTCTCTAAAAATCAATTCCCAACCCACGAGCCCACGACGAAGGGCCATCCTCCAGGACCTCCAGACCAATAAATTTCGATAATTTTCATTGATCGATCCCTCAACAATAATTTTCCTCCCACGAAAGGTAGAGGAATAGAGCGGCCATGTTGGCACACGATGGAACGTCCATTTGACCCCAGAATTATATAATCAATCATAAGAAAAAAATTCGACAGACTGTACCAAACTAAAATCATTCATCAACCAGTGAAAACGATGGGAGGAATTTTTCACCAGGTGGTGCTGTCCCTGGGGATGATTTAAGGGGCTGTCAGTGTGGAAAAGTCAAGGGAGGAGCTCTAGAAAATTAGGGGCAACTCCCGGTGTTGGGGAATTCAATGGTTCCAGATGAAAATGAATTTTATTTTTGTACTCACGGTTGACGGATAGTGCGGCTGTTGCTTTGGTGACTTCATTTTGGATTAAAGTGGGTTTTACTGCCCTGAGGGCACCAGCCGCTGCCTTTGATACGGCACTCAACATCATGGCCGTTGGAGTGAACAGAAACGACCGGAATACCTCGAGCCGCTGGTTCTCTCACCGACTTTGATAATTCGATGTATAACATCCGCATTGCCTGCGCAGGAGACCAGTTTATGGATCTGCGCAGGCAGAGGCTGCCACTGGTCAGGGGGAAAAGTCCCTGTGATTCGTGGGTTTGCAGCACTGGGCGAGTATCCCGGGCGGGAAGACGTTTGAATTCAAAAATCGTCGGATCGATAAACTGCAGTCAATTTCTCCTTCCCATTTTTTGATTTTTCGCCCTCTTCAGGGTTTTAACCATCAGTTGATAACAGCATGAGATTTTGTAAAAAAAAAAAAAACACTTTCCTTTCCGAAAATTTGTAAATTGGCGCCTGGAAAATAAAATAAAATAAAATTTCGTTTTTATTTCGCGGTTTTGATACTTTTGGATATTTGGGAAAGTCTCCATCTCTGAGGTTGAGTACCTGCCCCAGAAAATAAAAAAAGACTCCATAATAATGAAATAAAATGAATATACATAATTTATTTCTACTTTATTATAATACATGTACAACATGAATGGGGTTTATTTATCATCAATTAAGGACTGAATCAATAACATTAATCGTTCCCTCAGCTCGTCCTCCGTAAAAGCATGAAATACACAAAGATGAGGAAAAGAAATAGAAAACATTATTGCCCACTGAAATCAATAAAATCCTAAGTGAAATCCAAGTGGCATGCATTAATCAAATGTGTCCCTCTCAATATATTCTCCATTAATCTAATTACGAAATTTATCAAGCATTTCTCCCCGACGAAAATCCACAAACTTTCCAAAATTCTACCGCCTCATTAATTTCAATTACTGAAACAATAATCTCGCATTGACTTGACGTATATTTATTTATATACAACATATATCAGCTCGTTTGGATTATATATAACCGTGAAACATTAATTTCACCAATTGTTTTTTTTTCTATTTAATTAATATATTTATTTCGTCTCAATTTAATTTTAATAATTCCCGGACACTGGAACTCTTCGTATAGATATAATTATTCAATAATTTATCGGGGGGTCGTACAATAAATCGAGTGCATCGACAAGGGCTTCAGCGTATGAACTAATTGTTAAATACATTTTCAGTAATAGATAAGATATTTTAAGAAAGATAAAACAAATTCTTCTCCATTGGGATTTAAATGAAATCGTTCGTTGGAATTCTTCTTGGAGTTGACTCCTTCTGTCGGCTGGTGATTTTTATTTAATTATTATTTTTTCTTTACATTACACTGCGGAGAATTCCTTGATTGAGTGAGCCAACGAGAGCAGCTGGAGCTGATTGAGGAGCTCCACCAGATGCTGGAGCTGGTGCAGCTGGAGCTCCTGGTGGTGGGCCGTACTGATAGATTGGACCTTGTGGTGCTGCTGGAGGCGATTCTGGCATAAATTTAGCTGGAACCGATTATTTAATTAGTCTTAATTATATTGACACCTATATATCTCATTATCATCATCAACTGGTGAGATTTATCTAGGAATTGGGGGATTCCCGGAAAAATCTCGCCGGTTGGTGCAGGCGGGAAATATGTTGAGATCTTTCGAAATTAAAATGTTGGAGGAGTTATTGTTATAATTGTTATGTGTCTGTCAGATCTGTGGGACGGAATCCAATCATAAATTAAGTGGTTATTAGTTTTTTTTGTAATTATCCTTCGAGAGAGTAGAAATGTGGAAACGGAACGAAAACATGCAGAATATTTTTTTAGTTGATTATCATGCTCGGAGAATTTTCTTACCTGATGATCAGTTATTTTACCATTTTTACGGGCTTTTCCAGGAATTCAGCGGCCATTTCTCAATGATAGCAATTGTTTTTCGAACAGTTTTTCGTTTTTTTATCTCTTCATTAATAAAAAAAATTTTTTGAGTTGATTGACTTTGAAGTAAATTTACTGCTTGCGTTTGTAAACATTATGTACCAAAATATTACACCAAGATATAATTAAAAAAATATTATTCTAAGAAATATTATATGGAAATATAACAAGAAATAAAATTTGATTATAAAAATTTTTAAATATCTCACAATTATTTTGAATATTTTGTTCGATATTATTAGTAATTATTATTTATAATTATGATTATTGATCAATTAGTGTGGGAGAAGTAAAAGAAGATAATTATAATTATTCAATAAAAAATGATTATTAAAAAAAAATATCAAAAAATAATTAATATTGAAACTTGATTGCAAATTACTTGGCGCAATATGTATAAAAAAAATCAGTAAATTTACTCAGCAAAAGTCATTAAGTACTTTAATAATTCTTAAAAATGATTCATTATCTAATTATTAAGTAATTATAATGTAATTATTTATAATTATTTCTCTCAGTGCTGATTCATTTTTCGATGTCAATGTAATTCGACAGTTGAAATAACTCGGGAACAGAGAGATAATGTTCTGAAACGAGGAAAACTGATTTTTTATTTTATAGCTGATAAATAAATAATTGATTTATAGATTTTTCGAGAGCTCATCGAAAATCTAATGCCAATAAACTCGAAGGTTACAATTTAAAATCAATATTCCTCTTTCCATTCCTCGAGAGATCTTTCTATAGATTTCCACGAAGAGTAATTAATCACTCAATTATGATGAAGAATAATTAATAATAGTACTGGACATATCTCCAAGTACAGACGACTAATTGTCTTAAAAATTTCGTCAATAATTCAATAATTCAAACAGTGTAGTTATCGTTTTATTATTCTGCCTTCCAATATCATGATTTATATTAACACGTATTATTGTATAACATCTGTAAATAATTTGTGCAATAAATCCTCAATAATCTTTACAATGATCTCATCTCAAATGTTTTCCACTCATCATTATGTAAAAAGCATTATTCGATAACTAAAGATTGACGGACAAACCGAAATAATTGAAGATGTAACTTTTATATCACTTTCGATATATTTATTTATTTATCTTTCTAATTCTACGAACACGCTGAGACTCCATTAGCGACTAAATCCCATTTATTTTCCATGTTTTTAATGAATGCACGAGGAAACAATGTTATTTACATCACGGTTATAGAAGACAGCGGTTTCTAGATTTTTCCATTTTATTTATCCATTCTCTTCTATATAATATGATATATTTCCTCAAATACCTGTTATCTATTCACTTATATCAATATTTTATTAATAATAATTAGTAATTGTAATGATTAACAATGAAACCAGACTGTTCCCCGGATCAAATGAAGACAACTCCATTAATTTTTCGAAATATTTCATCCGATGCTTCAGTTTTCCACAACTTTTTTCTCTTTTTATTATTTTTTTATTGAATTTCGTTTATTATTTATATTCTGACGAAAGAATAATTCCGTGATTTGCATCGTTGTTTCTTGTTTAATCAATGACTCGATTAGATTATTTAATATTTTTCTCTTTTTGTGGAGCTTAGCGGGAGTTGTTGAGTGATTAGTCATGGATTTTGAACAAATGATATTAATAAATAATGGAATGAGTTATCTATTTTTCCAGCAATCATCTTTTATCTTTTATCTTCATCATCGGGTGACGATTTTCCAGCGATTGATAAAAATAAGATGGCAGCAGAGGACCCTGACAATTTCCCTTTCGATTATTTTTCAATTTCGCATATTGATTTCGCATTTATTATTTATTATTTCGCTAATTTAGGGTCAATCAACGAAATTTAGATTTGCGAGTCGTTGCCACCGGTCAATCCCACTGAAAATGATTGAATTCAATATTGTAGATATTTATTAATAATCGAATTATTATTAATATCTATTTGCATTCCGAGAGTTTTCATGCAACACTTTTTTTTTTTATCAAAATTCAATAGGAAAATAGGAATCTAATTTTTTTCTTGTCAATTGATGAGTGTGATATCAAATATTTCAATCCAAAATTTTTGATTGACATTTTTTGCGGAGTCTTCCTATTGAATTAAAATGCAATTTCGCATGCACTAGAGTCGAGAATATTTGTAATTGTTATTTTTAATTTGCAATTACTATTTGAATTATTTGTAAAGATACAGAACATCTGCATGCACTGATAAATGCACTAGAAGCCATTTTCCAAGCTGAGAAAACCGTCCCAGAATGTAAAAAAAATATAAATAAATAATATAATTTAGTGTTCGTGTTATATTTCAATTGATTGTTAATTAATTTTGTACTGAAAGTACTAGCTCGGCAACAGGTAGATCTGTGGACTATCTATTCGATCTCCAAATCGCAATCTCATGCCAAATTTCCTGGATAATATATAATAATATAAAAATGTTATAAAAATTCGAGTCACTGTACCGTAAAAATCAATTAGATTAAAAAATATTTGATAAAAGTGTTAAAATTGGAATAAATGTTAATAAATGTTCAAGTGCATAGTGTAAAATTGCCTTACCGTAAAATTCACAGTGTCAATGATTATTTGAAAAATGTTTAAACTGTCGAATTGTTGAGTTAATGATTTTTCTATTTTTTCACAACAAGTCTATATTTTTTTAAATATCGAAAGCTAGTGATTCGTGAAAGAATAGACAAATCGTTGATCACCTGGGACCAGTTTCATTAATCACATCCTACACATTAATTTAAAAAAAAAATTGTTTAAAAAAAAGGACAGACACATAACAATTGGCACATTTCAAAACCATCAATGTCTCGATTATTTTCTCAATCGAGTTGATTGTGGAGTATTCATAAACAGCTTTGGCTTTTTTGTTTATACAAAAGGAAAATACACCAGCGAATACCTAACAGAATAACATCGACAATATTTATAGGCCAACTCCTAAAATTACTGGTGATTAGAGTAAAACGATGATTAATCCGTGTAATTATCATTTCGATTATTTTATTGAAAAATCTAGTCGTTGAAGTCGTCACTTGTAGGGGAGTGGAACAAAACGACTTCAATGATCAATAACTCAAAAGCCGATGGATGAAATTGAATGATTTTTTTTTCATTTTAAAGCTGAAAATTAGAACTTTGAAATGAAATTTGAATTGTTGAATTTCACTCTACCGATCTCGTGTTATTGAAGGTTGAAAACATTCCATTTTTCTCTTTTTCAATTGTTTTGCAATATAAATTAATTTTTTTATACCGAGGGGCAATAGGTTTTTGAAGAGAAATTAGTGAACTAATTGTAAATTCTAACGAAAATGTACCGTTTTGGGATTTTATGGTTATTCTTAACACGTGATGATCATTCAATAATTTTTCAGAAAATCGTTAATGGGAAATTCATCGTTTTACTTGTGAACACCTGAAAGGAATCTGAAAGATTTTCCACAAAAAAAGGCTAAATAAAAAGGAAAGAAAATGACAGTTAGAGATAGATATGCGATAGATATACGAGTAGGGTAAACAGATATATCGGTTTTAGGGTAACAATATTCCTACGACAGAGACACAATAAATCCGGCTTTTTTTTTCACTTTTCGATTCAAATTTTTTGATTTTTTTCATTATTTTCTCTACCTGAACTCACTCATACATGAATGTTTCCACCAATCTGCGCGTCTACATGAAGTTCGCTAGACGGAAAAAGGACAAAACACAAATTTACACGTTAGATTTAACTTTTTCTCAATTGAAAAATCGATGGGTCCCAAAAAAATGGCCAATCAGACATCTCATGTCGTTGAATTCAACTCTCGAACGTCGACTTTATCAATTTTCTTTGCAAAACTCCTAGAGCTTCAAGCCAATGTCAAAAGTTTGTCAAGTACTACTTGCAAGAAGTTCAACGAGAAGTTCAATTTCCTTGGATTGCGCACAACGAGGCAAGTATTGAATTAAACCTGAAGGACAATTTGCGAAATCTATCATGAGATTAATTTCACGAAAAGACTGATCATCAAATTTTTTATTCTTCTTGTTCTGTGAAAATAAAAATATCAATGGCGTCTAACAATTTTTTAGAAGCTAATAAATAATTAATGCTTTTCATTCTATTGAATTGAGTGGAATTTCAGTTCCAATTCTCACATTTTACTGAATTTTTTTCGTATGTAATTTTCACTAATAGGAAAATTCCATTGAAAAACCTCTAGCTCTCTAATAATTTTCTATAAATTCTACAAGCATAATAAATAAACGATATTATTCCGCAATTGAAGTGTTCGAAGAATTCAATTCGAGATCTCAACACACGAGTTAATAATTCAAATTGTTTGAATAATTAAAAGAATTTTCCGAATTTCCGGATTTTCTGGGACTCATCGAAATATTCTCCGCGAGTTCTAGTAATTCATCTTCAAATTGACGCATCGAATTATGATATTTCAATCCTCTGAGTTCATTGTGGGTCACGGGTGTGAAGGTCATCAACATTTTCATTTTTTAATGACTGTCTATTTACAATATTCTCTACGACAATTGTTTACACCCCGAATTTCGGTTTAATTAAAAACATTATGGATCTACTCACCGACGATGATCGCCAGGATGATGAGACCAATCACTCCCATGATAATCATCATCTGCAGGAAAAAAGATTAATAATTATAAAAAATTAAATGACTGATCGTTAATTCTATCGCGAAATTAATAAATGCATTTTTTCGAGACCAGTTTTCAGCCGATTTCTCAAAATCAGAGAGAGATATCGATATTTTCATAATTACATTTTTTGTAGCTCTCATCTTTTTCTATAAGAAAGGTTCATATAAAAAATTTGGTATGCGCCTTAAATTCCGAGATATTGGCAAAATACTGGCCTCGAAAAAGAGTACAACAAACAAAAAGTTTGTTCATTCGAGAATATTTTCATTTTAGTAGAAGCACTGCATTATTTACAATTTTTAAATGATCAGTTTTTGGATTTCGAGTTCTTTTCTTATGCAGAATTTTTTTGGTTCTCATTTTTTGCCGGCTGTTTTATCACGTGGGATATTTCTGTTATACTTACTTTTAAATTCTGCAGCCAAAACTTTCTTTTCAATTTTCCTGCTTGCTGTTCGAACTGCGAGGCACCTTGCTGGAGGGCATCTGTAAATAATTCCGTCAATTGTCAATTTTACATATTTCAATTCTAATTTATTATTTATTTTATAATTTAAATTTAATCTATACAGTAATTATATTTTAATAAAATATATTGATTCGTTGATGCAGATATTCAGAGAAATATATCGCTTTGGGATTGCTTTTGAATTTGGAATTGATTTGAAAACTTCAAGTTCTTTGAGTTGGGGAATTGACGTGTAATTTTACCGGCGCAGGAGAAATTTTACTCAGAAATATTGGGATCTTTGGGGAATTGATAGTCACCGGCTCGATCGTCGAGTTCAGACAATTTCTGATCACGCTCTAGGACCTTCTCGACGTTGGTCTTCATGATGTCGACAACTTCGTCAACTTGCGCTTGCGTCTGCTGCAATCGTTTCTGGGAGGCAATCTGCTGGGGTGTCCTAGGCCCACCAACGATTCCATCACCCCCAGCACCCGCAGCTGCATCCGGCACTAGACCACCCTCAGAGGCCCTGATAATTCCAATATCAAAAATTATACCATCTCCAGGAGTTATTGCCGATATCTTCTCATTTTTAAGCTGTTTTACAAATGTCTGAGAAACGATTGATGACATTCAGTCACGGAATGGTAAACTAGGACAGGTGCATTTTTTTAATCCCCAGTTTTTAGCGAATATCTCGGAATTGGAGGCACACAGCCAATTTTTCGTATAAACAGTTTTTTTAGAAAAAGATGAGATCTACAAAAAAGGTATCTATGAAAATATCGGTATGTTCCTTCAATTTTGAGATATTGACTAAAAACTTGGAGAATCAGTTTTTGTTAAATATCGCAAATATCTCAGAATCAGAGGAAGATAGCGAAATTTCTGTAAAAACCGTTTCCACGGCGAGAAATGAGAGCTACAAAAAAGGTCATAAGGAAAATATCTCTATCTCCCTCCAATTTCTAGATATCTCGTAAAAACTGGTGACGAAAAATCCACCTGTCCTATGACATTTTCACCAACTTCTGCTTCAGATAATTATTAAAAGTTCTTATCAATTTTCGTGTACCGGTGTTCAACACTGTTTTAAATAATACCTTTGTTATCGTATTTTGAGGGAAATTAAGTTCATCAGTTACGGTGCGATGAGTTATTTATTATTATGAGTCAAAGGTCAGAGGGACGTGAAAGGTCATAATACACTCGGGGCAGTTATCCATAAAATTGGATGAATTTTTAAAAGATGAATGAAAACAACGAGTCACTCTGCAAACCGCAACGAAAAGTGTTCAATTTAATTTGTCTATATTCCGGAACAATTTACCGCGAACATATTCTCAATTATTCATTCCTACAACGAATAATTAAAAAGAACCGCTGATTAATTAATAACGCGGAATACAGTACGCAATTGCCAATAATAAAAATTCATTTCTCGCTATTTCATTGAAAAATCGCTCACAATAATAATAATAATAATAATAATAATAATAATAATAATAATAATAATAATTTTTTATCAAGAGAAATTATTAATTCAATAGAGAAATACATTTGTTTATGGATTTAATTTATATAGCGTTATTTATCAATTTGTTTTCTTAAATGAAGAAAGAATAATTCGATAATCAATTATCTACTTGTTGTTATTAAACATTTTTATAATTAAAAGATTTTTGGGAGTGAGAAAAATTTGTTCTCTGGGTTGAAATAAAAAAATACCAAAATTTTATGAAACAAATTGAAAAATTGTGAGTGAAAATAAAATAATTTAATTATAAAATAATTGATTGAAAGTAATTATAAAAATCAATTAAGTACTTGACTCTAAAATCGAAGGGACGAATTTTCTTATCGAGCGCTTGAGGTACAAGAGTAATTATGGAATGACTGATTCATGAGTCACTCTATGGAATTGATTACTCAAATATAGTACCTCAATTCCAAGATTTTGGGGGGAGGAATTTTTTCCTAGGAATTTTCCCCTTTTTCACACCGATTTGAGATGGCAGGTCTGAGTGTTATATATAACTCTGAACTGCCATCAATGAAATCGATTGCACGATTCGTGAATATTGCGTAGAATTTTTTTTCAATTCTCCATTCACAACTAGAACAACAAATCTCTTCTAAACCACAGGTACACGTAAAAAAAAAATGGAGAAATCGTTGTGATTACGATAAAAATACTGAGAAGGTGCGCTACATCGGTGGGAAAATTATTCAACGATTGAATAAATAAATTTTCCAATTGATCAATCAAAAAGTGGAAAAGGCCGTTCCATGGCTCGACGAAACAATTAATAACACCAATTGAATCCCAGAAAAATGATGCAATTGTTTTTAAAAAATTGACGACTTTTTCCAGAATTTGAATTCCTAATTTAACCGAAAAAAAAATCAGCCATTTTAGTGGCCCGAAATGGGGTGTTCCACCCCCCCAACAATTTTCACATATACTCAAAAATAATACTCACATTATTTCAGATAAACAAAGCCGTGGTAATTAATCCTTGACTGAACAAATTCCGTTGTTTTATTTTATTAATGAAAAATAAAACTTCACCCCAGAAACGTCAGGACGTACGTTCCAATGCGAGACTGCCGTTCACAGAAACTCCCCCGGTTATTGATAAATTCTCGGGGAGGAGGAACACTCGAATCGCACCCCTCGTATATCGAATCGAAAAAAAAATCGATCTGCAACAGAAAATAAATGAAACGCGCATGAATTTCGGGGATAAATCGCCCCCCGCGCCGCGAGATTCCGTCGATTCCCCAAATTGTTTATTCCCCACTTTCTCGGGTTATTTTTTAAATAAAATAATGGATCGTTTGAGGAAACTGGGCCAAAGATCGAAATGAGTTCGATAGGTCGAGGGTGTTCTTTGCGGTATCGCGGGGGTGCGTTTGCGCATTTGAATGCGCACGCGCGGGAAAGACAATCAATAATTGTGCCATTTTCATTTCTTTTCACCCCCTGGGGGTGTCACGCGACCCCAAATGGTTTCGGGATTTGTCGTCGATGTAATCCAGTACCGAAGAGGTGAAACCCCGATTTTCAGTATTTGATACCTCGAGGATAACGTGAATTTTTTCTAATCCCAAATTTTAAAATGTCATCGCGCAATTTCGATAGCTCTCGTCAGGATCGAAAGGGGTGAGTTAATTGACGGGTCTTAATTGAGTTAAGCAATTACTTCTCTTGTTATCCCCAGAAATTTTTCAATATCTGATTTTCACAGTCCACTGGCCGCCATTGAGTAATTATGAATTTACGGAATTAAAAAAAATTTTAATAATACAATTGTTCGGATTAAATTACATAATTACGGGAAATTCGTCTGCGGTCAATATAAATGACATAATTATAAAGTAGATTGATAAATTTTGGGTGAATAATGGATTTAACAAGTGTTTTCACACGTTTAGAGTAATCGGAATTTTTGTAAATATTGTGAATTATTTATTTATTTCTGGACGCTATGATGTTAAGATTTCTTTTTATTTCAGGGAAAATCGTGGATTCTGGAGGATTTTCCCGGGGAAATTCTCACGTGTGCCGAGACCAATTAAAATGTGGAGAATTATTGAATGCCGTTCAGGTAATGTTATAAATTGTTTTAATAAAATTACAATAATCCAATTTTATTCGAATCCTCAAGCACTGAAATTTCTTTATTTCAATTCTTAATTTCCTTTCATCACGAAACTCAAATAATAAAACAGTCCAATTAAATCGAGTCAAAAATAAATGATAAATAAAAATACATAAATGGAATAATAAAATAATTAATACTAAATAGATAACATGGAAATAATAATGAATAATATGTGAAAAGTGTATATTCTGGGGAAGAACTGAGAATTTTTGAATGAAAATTTGGAACAAAAAATTGTTTCCACTCCCTGAAATCCATTTCCACTTGAAAGTAATAAGTACTTAATGACGTCATACCCAAAGAAGATTGACTAAAGTCGATGCTCAGTTCTGGGGGTTGGAGTGATCCAGCATCGCGGTACTGCACCCCAAGAGAGGGAGGGCGCCACACGCAATGAGGGTGTCTGCCCATCAGCCGACTCCGTAACTGTCTCATTAGCAGTTCCGGTATCAGAGGGACAAGTCAACTGGGTGAATTTTATTTTATGTGTTACGAAATTGGTATTCACTGAAATTGAAAAATTCGAAATTTTCGAAAAAGTATCAGGCGAGCATGAAAATCGAGAAGGTATTCACTGAAATTGAAAAATTCGAA